AAACACACACACACGTGAAAAATATAAACCTGACTTCCTGCCAGACATCAGCCTGCTGGGAAGTTAGGAGGGGACAGAAGGAGGTGACAGGGATGTCAGAAGACCACCTTTAGCACACTGACTAGCCACATGGCCAGCCAGCAGACTACGTCTTATGTGTTGCAAGGAAGAATCCCTTGGGTATCTTAGTTCCAAGATTTGTTGTTAGGCATGTTTGAGGAGAGGCTTTAAGAACAAGAATCCATTTGTAAAGAAAACACGTTTGTGAGAACTTTTTATAAAAAGCACTTGGGGAATAAGAAATTAAAATGTCTTTTTTTTTTCCTGAGCTTTGTAAGGATTCCTTACAAAGCACATTTGATGCTGAAATGGAGCTTGGCAGGGCATTGTTGTAGTCATAAAATATTTTACTGTTTTAAATAATAAAATTCAATTTAAATGTTAAACTTCTCCATATGTTATCATTCCTTTATAAACTCCTCGGCAGAAACATCAGGTTTTTAGCTTCAAACCATTAAATGTTATTTTAATTAAAAATATGCCAACAAAAAAAAAGTTAAAACGCAGGCTCTCAATAAAAGTACCACTAGTATTCTGTCATTAGCATGGGAAAGAGCTTGCATTTAATTCCTTTATGGAAGGAATGTGCCCCAGACTTTTACCTTGAAAATGCAGACACACAAAAACCACCAAACTGTGATTCAAAGTTCAAAGACAGAAGCCAAATTCACCACGCATTAAGTCGGAAAAGAATTACTTTCACATTCTTATCTGATTTGGGGGCTCCCAATACCACAACTCTTTTGTTTTCTAGGTAGAAAATAGTGTACCCTTGTGCTTATCATTCTGCTAGGAAGGCAGAACTGAGTTTCCTCCTAGAAACTGCATCGAAATCCGCCTGAGATTGCTAATTCCAAGGACTCGTTCATTTCCTTTGTGAGTGGGTGGGAGTCGGGGCTGATGGGATTTCAGAATTGTCTGCAGTAAAATAATTCCTATGCCTGAGAATAAATAATGAAAACTTCCCCCACATTTTGGCATGCTGTTGGAGCACCCTGCCCGGTTCATTTTCTCCTCCAGTAAGCATGTATTTTGGGAGATGGCTACTGTATCAGCGGAGTCCTGAACCCCATAAGGTCAGAAGCCAGCCCAGAGCCTCTCTCCAGAGGTGTGCAGGCCCCAGAGGTGTACATAAGTTGGCTCTTACACCCGAGGAATGATAAAAAGGGAATATTCTTTTCTAGTATTCTCGTATTTCACCACCATGGGCCAAAATGGGAGAAAAGCACTGTCTCTGGTGTGTACACAATCAAATAAAAATCGTCCAACCTGTTCTAGGGCACACTGGCCACCACAGCCCAGACTCTTGGCTGAGTCTGTGAGGGCCACTCGGGCTTCGGTTCAGAAGGACCTTTGTACTAAAAGTCACCTGGTCCAGATCCTTAGGGAAGGGACCACGGCCTAGCCTAGAGGTGATGTTTTTGAGGGAAAAGAGGACCCCATCTGGGGATTTAACCTTTATCACCTCTACTCTGGTCCCCAGTGGTGACCCTGTTGGACTATACGTAGGGACGAGATGGGGGCTTCTGAGGAAAAAGACGTACAGTGTAAAGACTGTCTGTGCCTGATGGGAGAGAGGCAGGAGACTGGCTGGGCCAGCCGTTGTTCAGAGTGAAGCCACACTCAGCTCTTTCTGCCTTCCTCTTTCCAGATCCTCTGTTCTTACAGCTGAGCACCACACTGTGAGTGCTAAGACAGAGACTACATCACACACAGCAAGGCCCACCAATGGTAAGGAGAGATGGCAGAGGATGGAGGGAGTTGGGGGAGACAGGTGTATAAAATTCTTTCTATCCCCACCCACATTCTGGAAAATAATAATGATGACAACAACAACAGAAGTAATAATAGTAATAGTAGTAATAGCACTAAAGGTAGAAGTGGGAAATCAGTAGTAGTATTAGCTATCATTTCTTGCTCTTACTACATGCTGCCCTCCCCCACTTCACATTCATTGGTTCAGTTAATTCTCAACTGTTAAGATGTAACTACTGAATGCTTAAGAAACCATTCGAAGATAAAGCCATTTGGGGTTCTCTTTATTTGTTAGAATATGGCTTCTTAAAGCATTAAAGTGCTAACTGGTTAATTAAAACTCTTCCAAGACGCTCTCAATAGTCTCACTCAAGGGTCAATGGCAGAGTGCACTGACCCTCTTCAAGAGCAAGAGTCCAACTTGACTCACAGTCTCAACAACCCAACCATCAAGGCTGGGCCAGGTAGATCCAAGGCCCCCTGAGTGTCATGGGGCACAAAAATTTGTCAATTTTTATAAAGTAGGAAAGCACAAACAGGACCCAGGGTTAAAGGGCAACAATTGGGGTCTCAAGGCATTTATTAAGAGGACACTACATAATCAGTGGGGGGCCCCGGAGACTTAACAAAACAATACCAAGCCCGGAGGCTTAACTAACAATTAGGAATCTCCAACAGCATGATCATGTTTCACAAGGCAAATTTTACTGACAACAGTCCTGTTCTCTGTAAAGATACACAGATTCAGCCTTCCTCTAGCAATGCTGTACAAATATACAATCATGTCTATTAAAAAAATTTCTCAGCAATTTACTGAAATGATTGGATAGGTTGGTCAAACAAGGGAGATGTGGAAGAAGTGAAATTCCATGCCATTCCCGGTCACAGCCCTCACTTTCTTGAACTAACATCCATCTACATAGGTTCTACATTCCTAATCAACTAACACTCTCCCCTTCCCTCCACCTTTCTGGTTCTTTTCAATGCAATAACTTGCACAAAGAGTCCTTTAGTTTCCTTAGCAACTGTTGGAAATTTATTTGGTTATCAAAATAAGCTGTTCCATTTTGGAGAGCCCAGCTGAGCCTGCGTGCAGCAATTTGCATGGTTTAAACCGATGGGCAATTTTTATTTCATTGCAGAAAGAAGAAAAATGCTATCCCTAAGCCCACCAATTCAACTATCAGAAATTTTTGTTTATTCAATGCTTCCCCCCTCCTTTTCTGTTAACACGTAAGTTCTTGTGGCTTTTCTTTGAAAAGCTGCCATATTTGGTTTCTGTCCCATGACACGCTGAAATGGTAACAGCACTTTGAGAACACAGTGTAAATTGCAGTTTGAGGTTATTCTCAAAGACATGATGAACATTTAAAATATTGGGCTCATTATATATTTAATGTGCATAATTAAAAAATATATACAGCATTTTACAATATGAAAAAACGCCCCAGTTATTTGTAGGGGCTTTAAGGGAAAATATTATACAGTCTGGATTTCTGGTTTTCTAATAACTGACATGGAATGGCTTGGGATTTGCATAGATGAGAAGAAAGGAAGTGACATTTGTTGAGTGCCTCTTCACCACCAGTCTGAAAAGATACAGATATTATCATCCTTGTTCTTACAGATGAAGAAACTAAGGCCCAAAAAGATGGAGTAATTGGCATGAGTTAACAAAGCCAATAAATTTGAGAGCCAGGATTCAAGCCCCGGACTGTCCGGCTCCAAGGCTCATTTATCTTCTTCCCATCATACCACATTGTTTCTCCCATCTCTGGAAACAAGGGCTCTCATCTTAATTCTGTAATCAGCTCTCCTCTCCAATATTCTCAGAAGGGATAGGAAATATGCACTCACATCAGTGTTAAAGACTTTTCCCCTTGAGCTATGTCTAAGGAAGTAGATTTTGTAACATTACAATTAAAAACATAAACTGTGTAGACATTGGTTTGACCAGGGCAAGAGAAAGTAAGAACCGTGTGGTCTCACATAAACTGTAGGAAGCTTTGTCCTCCGTTTCTCCAGTCTGATGTATTTTGTGTCACAGTAATTGCTTTTGATGCTGACCACTTTCCAGCACAGCACTGCATTTTAGGGGTTTGTAAACAGGGTTTCCATTTGCATTAGTAATGACTGATAATCCCTTTAAGCGAAAATACTCCAATTAAAGTAAACCAATAAGCTGGTGCAATTTTATTTTGTCTCTTATCTGCACCTCCTGCTCCTTGGGTAAAACAAAACAAAACCTAAAAACCCCACAAACTAATTTCATTAGAATGGGAGATTTCAGATAGATCCAACTCCTGTTTCAAGAATGTCTGATAGAGATCATGCAGGGAAGAAAATACATTTTGCTAAATGAGACCTCTTCCAATGCCTTGAGGGTTCAACGTATCTTAAATCTGCATTTGTACATGCTGATCTAAAGAGGGTCCACATGTATGGTATTTACGTAGGGCATGTGACACTGTAAACTGACAAGGGAATCACAAGCTGACAGGCAGTACCATGGACAGGGCTGACCAGGAAAAACAATTCTGAAGAACCATCTGGTTAGTCTGATGATTCTATTACCAATTTCATATGTAGGACTTGTGAATTAAATTGGACCTTGGAGCTAATTTAGCTCAATAACCTCCTTTTAGAGAGGAGGAGAATGAAGCTCAGGAAGTCCTTTTTTTTTCTTTGAAAGCATGTTCCTTTTTTTCTAAGTTTATTTATTTTTGAGAGAGAGAGAGGAACAGAGAGCGAGAGAAGGAATGAGTGGGGGAGGGACAGAGGGAGAGGAAGACGTAATCTGAAGCAGGTTCTAGGCTCTGAGCTGTCAGCACAGAGCCCAACATGGGGCTTGAACTCATGAGCTGCGAGATCATGACCTAAGCCAAAGTCAGACCCTTAACCAACCAGGCACCCAGCTCAGAAAGTCTTTCAAGGGATTTGCTTAAGGTCAATTCAAGGGGCAGCAACTGGGCTAGAAGTCAGGGGTCTTGATTCCTAACTCAGAGCTCTTCCCGTGGCCCTATCCACACTTCCTCCATAACCTTACTGAAGGGTGAAGAAAGTGTAAATTAACTAAATGTTTTAAGTCTTAACATCTTTGTAAAGGAGAAGACTGGCATTGCCCCTAGAAAAAGGAGGCAGAGGTTCTGATTTGGCTCTGTGGAAATACTCCCATTCTTACTTCCCTTAAAGATGACCATGGGTCAAGAGTTGATTTTGTCAGAGCAATACAGAGAATATTAGCATAGTCCCTGTGCAAGAATTACATGCAAATTTATGAAGTGTTTCATATTTAGAAAACAAAAAGAAACAGTTGGGAGTGCCTGGGTGGCTTCGTTGGTTAAGCCTCTGACTCTTGATTTCAGCTCAGGTAATGACCTCACAGTTTCTGAATTCGAGCTCTGTGTCAGGCTCTGTGCTGAGAGTGTGGAGTCTCCTTGGGATTCTCTCTCTTCCTTTCTCTCTGCCCCTCCTCCACTTGTGTTCTGTCTCTCAAATAAGCATTTTTAAAAATAAAATTGATTTTGGTCTTCAGGATCATTCAAAGGTCCTGAGTAGCTACTTCAACCAAGCATATGGTACCCTGTTAACCTATCGCTTCTTGGCCTTTTGGCTAAGATCAAGAGTGGTACCCTGTTAACCAAATGGATTCCTAGAAGTGCTATGACCTTGAATCCTTGTATATATATGACCTATATCCTTGAGTGCTATGACCCAAAAGTTATCTGAGATGATAGGAAAGAAGATACAAACAATAAAGGTTGGAGGCAGATATGACCACTTTGCTAACAGCTGAGATCAAGCAGGGTACAGCACCACTTCCACCACTGATAGAAAAATATCTGTGTCCCATTGTACAGTGGGATTTCTCAACGACATCTCCTTCAGGGTCTCGTAACCATGCAGTGAGTCAGGTAGGACAATTTAAAGAGACAGTAAGAGCTCTGGAGTCATCTGGACCTGGGCTCATACACCAAGCTCCATTATTTACTGGCTGAGCAACCTCTGGCCAAGTCACTAAATTAATGTGACCCAGAGGTTTTACATCTAAAATGGGTCAAAAGAATTATACTTACCTCACAGGATCTCTGTGAGGATTAAGTGTGAAATGCTCTTGACAAAAACCTTTGAAACAAACTGCACAAACACTAATGATTACTGTTACTGAGGATAAGACTGGTGTTAGGACAATTAAGTGATTTGCTTAAGATCACCTCGTTAGTCAATGTTAGAATACCTCAACTGGTGTTTCCGTTAGACCACAATACTCCAAGGGTATTTCAATCACAGCATACTATCTACCCACTTCACCACACCCCACCCCACTCCTGGAGATGCCTGCTGGCCCCATGAGGTTGCCCCATAAGGGCTCATCCTGATCCCACACAATCAAAGACAGCCAACCCAGCAGTGTGAAAGCCCAGAACGCTTCCCTTGAAGCATGAGATGGGATGCCGCTGAGCACCATGAGAGCTGCCCAAGCCCCTCTATGAGCTCACAGTGGCAAGGAACTGAGATGAAGACACAGGAGGGTGGCAGCCGGCGTGGAGTGCAGAGAGATGGAGGAAGTGCCAGAGCATGGAGCTGTGAGTCAGGCACATGGCGCGCATAATGAAGGTCTCTTCGGTTCAAAGGCAGACACAGAGGACTCACGACATGAACAACACAGCAACCCTACCTTCTGTGGCTCCTTTGCCTTTCCTGTCAGGGATCTCTAACCCAGTGCCCCCTGATGGATACAGGGAGACGTCCGTTGGCACAGGCCAACTGCTGGCTGTGTCCTCCGTGATTTCATACATCTGCCCCTCCATCGGCTGCAGGTGCCAGTTTAGGCCAAACAGGTGCATGGCTGTGGTGAGCAATGAGAAAAGTCATCGTTTTCTGCTGGAGGTGGAAATGGAACTCCCGAGCCATAGGGGAGGGCAGGCGGGGTGGGGAACTCAGGAGTTCAGTTCAGCTCAGTTCAACAAAGAGCCCCCGAAGAGAGCTTTGCAGTGCCAAGCCCTACGTGGGGGACTGGGGCATAGAGATGCTCAAGGCCTGGACCCTGCCCCTAAGGGCTCACAGTCTGGTGGGACAGGGAGAGGGGTAGGGATGGGGGCGTTTCAGGAAGTCTTGGCCTTCTGCTTCAAAAGATAAATAACCCAGGGGGGAATTTTGCAATCTGTAGCACAAAGGTTTAATTTCCTTAATATAAAAGTAACTGCTACAAATCATAAGCAAAATCCAACAGCTCATCAGGAAAACAGGCATATGATATGAACTATGAGCAGAGAGCTTACAAAATAAGAAATACAATTGGTTCTCAATCATATGAAAAGACTCTCGACATCACTCATCATAGGAGAAATGTAAGTTAAACTTTGAAATACTATTTTTCACATAGGCTTTGGCAAAGATAAAAAAGATTAAAATTATACAGTATTGACAGAGAATAGGAAATAAGCACTCTCATACTTTGTTGGTATGAGCATAAGTTGGTACAAACCCTATGAAGGACAATTTGACAAAAGCTATCAAATTTATAATAAACATACCACTTATCCTGGGATTTAGAGGGTCCCAGGTTTCTAGAAAATTCTAGAAATTTTACCTCCAGATATTTTCACATACATACTAAACCATGTACATACAAGGTTATTCACTGCAGCAGTGTTTGTAGTAGCAAAATATTACAAACCGCTTCATGAATAAGCATGATAGGCTAGATCAGTTACCTTCATACAATATATTATGTGACCATAAAAAAGTACATTGGAAGCTCTTTGTATTTTTCTGAAAAGAAAACTGTAACATGCAGAATGGTGTGTCTGATATACTGCCTTTGGGGAAAAAAATGCTGCATCTGTTTAGAATATTCCTGAAGGATATGAAAGACATTGGTAGCAGTAGATGCATCCAATGACGGAAAGAGACGCTAAGGGTCAGGGATAGGAGAGAGATTTGCTTCTAAATGTATGTCTGTTGTACTTTTTGATTTGGTAGCAGGTACATGTATTTCTGTTTTAAAAATATTTCTTCCAAGGTAGCAACTGCTAAATAGTCTCGTGCAACAATCTAGAAGAAACCATGAGATGCCAAAGAATGGACACTGTCCCCTAACATACACAATGCTTGAAAAGGCAAGGAAGCTTGTTTCCTGAGTTTGTAATCTAGTACAAAATGTCTGCTTAAATCCCATCTTAAGATTCAAGACTTGTCAGTGGTCCCTACTTACCTCCTCTGAAATGCCTGCCCTGATTCCCCACACAGAGAGTTAAGAACTTTAGTCTCTAACTCCCGCAGCATCCTGTTTGCACCATCACTCCTCTGTCGCACTGATGAACATTTTCTAGAAGCCTACTCTATACCGGGACCTAGGGCTGACTCTGGAGAGCCAGGATGTAATCAGACAGCCCTTACTTCCATGAGCTCACAGTCAAGCACGGAAGATGAACAAGGGACAGAGTCTACTCAGAAGGACTAGAAGGCCCAGAGGAGGGTGACTGGCACACTAAGAGGGCCAGAGGAACCCAGGGAAGGATCTATGGAGATGTGAAGGCCCACAGTAACTATGTTTATTGAGGACTGACTGCATGCCAGGAAGCACACTGGGAAATTTGTATATGTTAACAACTAACCCTCAAGGCAGTCCTGCCAGACCCAATTTGCAGATGTGCACGCTAAGGCTCAGAAGGTGATTATAAAGCAGAGTGCCAGGCATGTGCTAAAAGCAGTAAATGCAATTATTTCCTTAATTCTCACAAAAATCCTGAAAGTAGTAATAGCTCTATTTTACAGATGCAGAAACTGAGACACCAAGACATCGATTAACATAAGGAAGGTTAAATGGCTCACAAGCAGCACAGTCTAGACTAGAATCTGCAACTATTCAAGCCCTGAAATCAGATATCACCAGTTGGCTTGAAGTCCAGGCTCCACCCACTCGCCAAGGCTTTCTCGATAGCGAGCTTTACCTGGCAAGGCAGGTGGGCGTTATAAAAAACATCCCCTTTCACACATGGAGCAGCCTGGGAGCGGCAACACAGGATCCTGTGAAGAGGACAGAGGGTTATGTTGCTTGGCCCATTTGTGGAAGGGGTCACTGACGGGGGCCCTGAGGGGCTGTGTGGCCGCCTTCAAGACACAAATAACTGTGTAAAGGAGAGAAGCACAGCACATCCCTCTGATTTCTAGTGCAAACACAAGCCACCCAGGGAATGCTCACAAGTTTGATCTCATCAGGAGGGGGTTCTCTGTAACAGAAATGGAATCTGACCCTTTGCTCTCTCTGGATACTGTTATGCAGAGGACAGTGTGCTGGACCAGAGATAAAAAAACTGGTTTGGAGTCCTAGCTGCATCCGGGAAATGGAGAGACAATTATTTCAAAGAATTGCTGTATCATATGAGAATATATGGCAAAGTGCTTTGTAAACTGTGCATATGCTTGATGGCTGTATTTTGCAACCATTATAGTCATACTGTTGAGGATAATTATAAAACAGCAGCTAACACTTACTGAGTGTACTTGAGGTCCTGGGCACTAAAGGAGGAGGGACTTTGTGTTGCTTGTGGCTGTGTGTAGTTGTCAATAATGATAGAAGTTAAGGTGTCTGGAAGAAGTGGAAACTGCTGTTTCTAAGGCTGAATTAGCTCCCATTTCTGCTTACTGTCTTACCGTTTTAATCTGTATATTGGCAACTCCAAAGCTAATGGAGAAATCGTCTGAATGGAGGACGACTCAGAGATACACAGTTAAATGAGCGCTGCTCCTTTCCCCATTAGCATCAATTATCTCATCTAACTGCGCAGAAGTGCTGTCTTGTTAAAGGTCACAAGAATTAAGTAATCCCAGGATGAATAGAACTCTCACAGCTTTGCAAAGAGAAACATTTTTATTGTCAAAGCTTTCTCTTATTTTAACAAGGTACAAAATCAAGCCCGTGCTTTAAAAAAAAATTTACGCTGAGTGGAAAGAAAAGCCAGTGGAAAAAAGCGCTGGAGGTGAAAATAATCACAGGGTCTCATGTCGCAGGGAAGTTAATTAGGGCAGGACAGTCCACGGCTGACCTGACGCTTTGGGAGGCTCACTGGCTGGGCTTCCTCGCGGCCTTGGCCCCGACCGCCTGCTGTCACAGTTCTCACACAGCTGTGGGGCTGGCATGTCCCTCTGTTCTTGACAGTTCTGGACCCCACTCAAACCTGGGCTCTCGGAAGACTCAGTCACCCAGAAGCCAGTGGTGGAGGCCTATAGGTGGGGAAGTGAATGCCACCAAGATTAGGCTCTCCACAGTCAGGTGGAAGGTAGTACTGAG